AACAAAATATGTGGGGCAAAGCCGATAGAACTGCAAGGAAAAATAGACGAATGTACTGTCATAGTTGGAGACTTCAGCACTTATATCAGGAAAAGATAAAGGTGCTGAAGTCTCTTTATCAGAAATGGGCAGATTCAGCAGGCAGAAAATCGGTAAGGACAAACTTGAACTCAACAGCACCATCAATCCACTTGGATATAATTGACATATATAGATGACTTCATCCAACAACAGCAAAAGACATATTCTCCGGCTCACATTCATGGGGATAGACCACATTGTGAGCCATAAGAATAGTACACTAAGCTTTAACAGGGAGTGTTTAAGGTAGGGTGGACTCTGGCGCCCTCATGTGGTCCTCATGGAGGATGTGGTTTGGTTACCCCTGCTAGGTAAAGGTGCAAGAAGGGAAGTTCCAATTTGCTTTCTGTGCTTTATTCTGGTTTACATATGCTCAGATGAGATGAGTGGATGTATGATTTATATTATCTACTGTTATCTAAAATAACCTTCACATTTGGACAGGTAACATGCAAAGTGTCCTACACAGAAATACTGGGTGAAGATCACTGCAATAAAACCAACTCCAGAAAACAAGAAAATGGCAGAGTTGACAATCCCTCTCACCCTCCCCGCAAAGACACATATATGCACATTTCTTTTGTCAGAGGCATTAAGAGAAAGAAATGCTGTCAATCTAATCACAACTGATCACAACTTGATGAAACCAAAAAATCTAGAAAGTATCAGGAAGACCGTTGAAATACAGCTTTACGTTCACTACTGTGACCAGAGAAACTCACTGTGGCTGTTTTTTGTCCCTTTAGATGTCAACTAATGATTGTGTTAAGTGATCATGATTAACAGAGCATTTAAAATGTTTATTTTATCTGTATTACATTTCAAAAATTTATATTTAGACATATAATTTATGTATTTGTGTAGATACATAACTTATAACTTTATATTTTTGAAAGTGCATGCTCTTTTTTTAAACTGATAGAGGTGCCTAAGCAAAGCAAGTGCAAGTCTATTCCTTAAAGGGTAAGTGTGCAGAATGGAAAGCAGAGTGTACTTCGGGTTGACAGCTCATATTTGAACAGACATGAAAGTGATGATGTGTTAATTGTGTGTATAGCACAGAACAAATCAACTTGCTTTGAATGGAAGGTCTGAACCAGGAGTGCGTGAAATTGGGCTGAGTCATACAAGAAAAAAAATGAAAGGAGATAACAATATATGCCCACTAGAATGGCTAACATTAAAAAGATCGACCAAGCCAAGTTTTGGCAATAAAGTGGAGTAACTGAAATTATAATATATTGCTACTTGGCAGGTAAAATTACAACATTAACTTTAGAACATAGTTCAACCGTTTCTTCAAACCTTAGACACACACACTGTCGTGTTACTCAGCATTTTACGGTTAGGTTTTTACCCAAGAGAAATGAAATCATATGTCCACACAAAGACTTGTACATGAATTTTCACAGCAGTTTTGTTTGTAATAGTCAACAAGTGGAAACAATCCAAATGTCCCTCAACAAGTGAATGGATAAACTAAATTAAGATATATTTATACAATTGAATATTGCCCAGCAACAAAAGGAAACAATTTGTATATGTGCAGCAACTGAGATAGAACTCTAATTATGCTGTGTAAAGGCTAAAACATAAAAAAAAAAATCTGAATGATTTCCTTTATACGATAGGACATAAATGAAGTGATTCGGGTTACATGAAATTTTAGAAAGTCGAATCAATCTGTAGTAAGAGAAAATAGGTCGGAGATTGCCAAGAGAAGGAAGTGGATGTTTGGATGTATTACAGAAGGACATGAGGGAACTGTGTAGGGGTGAAGAGTATGATGGAAATGTTTGTTGTCTTCATTTGGTGATGGTTTCGCAGGGCATATATATAAGTAATCAAACTGTACTCTTTAAATACTCATCAATCATTGTATGTAATATATCTTAATAAAGCTATAAAAACTTTTTAAACTTATGGTAGATCTTGAGTTTATGGAGTTTATATTAATATATTTATCATATGAACTAGCCACAAATTGAGGGATTAGTAATAAATGAGGGAAAGGAAACTATATCAAGCTTTCTTTGTTGAAGGCTCATATATTCCTTTTTTGAGCTATTAGACAACTTTACTTTATATTATTACCTATACTATGCCTACACTACTATGGAGGTAGGAATATTAGGTAATTAAGTGGAAGGAACTTCTTTCTTTCCAAGAATGGTTCATTATATTTGCTTTGTTGTGTTGATCTAGTTCTAACCTCTCATTGCAAGTTTTGCTGTAATATTTACCCCTCTCAATACAGCTTTTGGTGCTAGGAGCCCCACTTGGAATCTCTTCCTTTGTCTGGCATCAATGTATAAGACACATATCAAAATTGTATTTCATACCACGTATCAAATACAGGAAAGGTGAATGCATAACATTGAAAATCACAGGAAATGTTTTATTCATGTTTTTTTATATATACAGTGGTTCTCAAAGTGCTGTTATCTACCAAAATTGGCTGTGAAACTTTTTTAAAATATAAACTCCTGGGCTCTAACCCAGACCCACTAAATCAGAGATTCTGGGGACATAGCTTGGACTCTTCATTTTTTTTTATAAGTAATTCTTCAATTATTTGTTCATTGCAACAAATATGCACTGAGTGCTTATAACTGAGTGTTAAGCACAAGGGCTAGATATTAATTTAGAGGTACAAAAGATACATCATCATTTGCCCTCAAATTATACACATCTAATATCTTTTGAGATAAATAGATCCTTCTAAAAGCACACAAAGTTAAAAAGCACAAATTGCAATAACAAACAATTACTGATATGAAAGGAAAAGGAAAGGATCCGACTGGGAATTATTATAGGGTGGGGTAGAGGGAAGTAGTTTAGATTCCAAATGCCTGAGAGGGTCAGGGAAGGCATCAGACTAGATTGGGTGTGTTCAGGGTGGTATGGACATAGACAGGCCAGGGAAGGCTTCGATAAGAAAGTGCCATTTTAGCAGACACCTGGAGGAAGAACTGAAGTCAGAGCGAAGATAAAAGCGTGTCATACAGAGGAATGTCATAGGGGAAAAATGTGTGTCTTCAGGAAACTGAAAAAGGGGAAAGGGCCACACCTTGGTGAGGGGACCGAGTGGCACGAGATGAAGCAGGAAGCATAGACAAGGGCATCCTTGTACAAAGTCAAAAGTTGGTTCTTTTAAGTCTAATAAAATTGACCTCTGGCCTCAATCTATCCTTCAGAATTTGAATTTATTAGTGGAAGGTGTGGGAAGGAGCAGAAATGAAAACAAAACAAAACAAACAAGAGATTTCCAAAACTATAGTAAAATGCTATTCTTTTCAACATATGTATCTTCTTGATTACATATTGTTTGACTCTAACTGTGATTTTTGTTGCTTTTAGTTAAATCTACAAGGCCTTAAGGGGCCTAGCTGAGTCTAGTATTTAATTTGAAATATCTATGAGAAAATACACGCTTCTTTATGGTAAAGTATAGCTTTAGTTGTTGAGCTTTGTTCACTCTTTGTGCTCAGGATTGACTTGGCAACAGACTTCCAACACTGGTGACTGCTACCGAGGGCCAAAGAGGAGATGTGTACTCCCACTGAATCTGAGTGCCCACTGAGCATGAAGGTGGATGGTAGAATGCATGAGTGTAGCTTGTCACAAGAAAGTATGATAAATGAGAATGGGAGAGACGAAGCTACACCACAGGCACTTACTGATTAACTAAGATTAGAAGCTGTGAATTGCAGCTTCCCGTTTAGTGAAAGATGATATATAGTTTAGTTGTCTTCAAACTAGCAGAGACTTTTTAAATGGATGGGTGCTGATTTTTTTTTAAGCCCATTTCTAAGGCATCTTTTAAAACAGGTGTCCTCAACCCCTGGGGCATGAACCGGTACTGTCCGGTGGCCCGTTAGGAACTGGGCAGAACGATAGGAGGTGAGCAGCCAAGCATTACTGCCTGAGCTCCACCTCCTGTCAGATCAGTGGCAGCATTAGATTCTCATAGGAGCAGAACCCCTATTGTGAACTGTGCATACGAGGGATCTAGGTTGCATGCTCCCTGTGAGAACCTAATGCCTGATGATCTGGGTGAAACAGTTCCATCTCAAAACCATTCCCCTGCACCCTCCATTCCAGGAAAAATTGTCTTCCACAAAATGAGTCTTAGGTGCCAAAAAGGTTGGGGACCAAAGTTCTAAAGGAATCAATCTCTTTGCTATTATTGTTACTATTATTATTGTTAAGATGGAGTCTTGCTCTGTCACCCAGGCTGGAGTGCAGTGGCACAATCTTGGCTCTACTGCAACTTCCGCCTCCTGGGTTCAAATGATTCTCCTGCCTCAGTCTCCCAAGTAGCTTGGACTACAGGCACATGCCACCATGCTCTGCTAAGTTTTTGTACGTTTAGTAGAGACGGGGTTTCACCATCTTGGCCAAACTGGTCTTGAATTCCTGACCTCAAGTGACCCACCCACCTTGGTCTCCCAAAGTGCTGACATTACAGACATGAGCCACCACACTCAGCTCCCTTGGCTATTATTGAAGTATTCTTTTTCTTTTTTGATCACATCTATGCAGTATATTGGAGAGAAAGAGGAAGTAGAGTGGGAATTTCAACAGGGCATGGTAGCTCACACCTGTAATCCCAGGACTTTGGGAGGCAGAGGTGGGCAGATCACCTGAGGTCAGGAGTTTGAGACCAGCCTGGCCAACACGGTAAAACCTCATTTCTACTAAATATTCAAAAATTGGCCGGATGTGGTCGCAGGTGCCTGTAATCCCATCTACTTGGGAGGCTGAGGCAGGGAGTATTGCTTGAACCTGTGAGGCAGAGGATGGCACCACTGCACTCCAGTCTGGGTGACAGAGGTATACTCTGTCACCAAAAAAAAAAAAAAAAAAAAAAGTCATTTCTCCATTAACTTAGATGCTGTTGTGGTCTTGATCCCCAGATCAATGCAATGCCCCAGAACAGCTTCCATTTGCCAGGCCTACCAACCTAACTGATGCATCTGAGTTTCCCGTTGGAACACATCTGAAGTATGAATGCCTCCCTGGTTATCATGGAAAACCATTTTCTATCATCTGCCTAAAAAACTCAGTCTGGACAAGTGCTAAGGACAAGTGTACACGTAAGTAACTCTGGAGTGGGAACCCCTCTGTTAGTCAAGTATCTGTAAGATCTGATTCAATTTGTTCAGATTTTGTAACTGAGTTGCATATGACAATTAGTTCGCCAAGGTGCAATACATACAAGAATTATTCTTGTAGATCATACCTTGTTACTGCTTTCAGTTCCTGGCGCCTTCATTACAAGTTTATTTCATGAGAAACAGTCATTGCAGGACATGATTGAGGGAAAATCCCGATTCACTGGGGGTCTCCCATTTTCATGACTAAAATTAAGTAATGAATGACTTGGGACAAGAAAAAGAAGTGGATTAAATAACTCAAAGATGTGACAATTTTGGGCTTTGAGATCTTTGGATTATACCAATTGAATTGAATTACAGATAATAACAAAGTTTACATTTTTCTGGGGGCATAATATGGGAATGAAACAGATCTGAAAGGGAAGTTTGTTTTTGAAAGGGAGCTGATCCTGAGGCAGTCTGGTGAGTTTCCTCAAGGTAGCAAAATCTGTGGAACCATCAGAACTGCGAGTGTTCCTCAGTAAGCTACAGGCAGGTTGAGACCTTATGTACTGAAAAAAAATGCAGTTTGCTCTACTTGGCTCCAAAATTCTGTTTCTTTCCTGTAGGTAAATCATGTCATAATCCTAAAGATCCTGTGAATGGCATGGTGCATGTGATCAAAGACATCCAGTTCGGATCCCAAATTAATTATTCTTGTAATGAAGGGTGAGTTGGCAGCAACATCTCTTGGTTCAAGAGTTCTAGCACAGCCATACTACCTTCTAGTCACATCTCAGAAAGGACAACTAAGCTATTACCATCTGCTCTTTAAAGGCTTCAACACAGGTGTTTAGCTCCTGACTGAAATGAACAAAGGTATGACAAAATCAGGGGGAAAATCATCTGTATCCTTGCTGGAAACCAAGGCTGTGCATATATGAAAAGTGTGGCATTCATTGGGTGAGAAGGAAGAAAATGGGGGAAGAGTATACTCAAAGCACACAAACAGCCTTAACCCAAAGTAGACATTGCTGGAGGAAAAGGAAGGCAATTGAGCAGCTGTGTGAGAGAAATCGTAATGGTAATAGCACAAATAGTTTGCTAGGGTTGCTGTAAGAGAGTACTCCAAAACAGGTGGCTTAATACAAATGAAGGTTTTGCAGTTCTGTTCTGGAGGCTGGAAGTGCAAAATTAAGGTGTTGGCAGAGCCAGAGCCATGCTCCCTCCAAAAAACCTGTAGGAATGGATCCCTCTTTGCTTCTTCCAGTTTCTGAAGCCCCAGGCCTTGGCGTGTAGCAGCAGAACTCTAGTTTCTGTCTCTGCTGTCCTCAAACGGCTGTCTTCCCTCTGTGTCCAAAGTTCTTTTTTTTTTTTTTTTTTTTTTTTTTTAGTAGAAACAGAATTTCACCGTGTTCGCCAAGATGGTCTCAATCTCCCGATCTCGTGATCCACCCGCCTCGGCCTCCCAAAGTGCTGGGATTACAGGCATGAGCCACTGTACCCAGCCCAGAATTCCCTCTTTCAATAAGGACACCACTCATATTGGATTGGGGCCCACACTAATGACTTCATCTTAACTTGATTGCCTCTCCAAAGACCGTGTTTCCAAATAAGGTCACATTAATAGGAACTGGGGATTAAGACGTCCATATATTTCGGGGGTGAGGGGAACATAATTCTCATGCATTGCTGGTAGGAATGCAAAATGGTACCATGACTTTGAAAGACGTTTTGACAGTTTTTTATAAAAATAAACATACTCTTACCATATTATCCAGCAGTTATCCTCCTTGGTATTTATTTATCTAAAGGAATTGAAATCTCAGCTTCACACACAAAAAAATCTGCACGCAGATGTTTGTAACAGCTTTATTCATAATTGCCAAAACTTGGAAGCAATCAAGATGTACTTTAGCAAGGGAATGGATAAACTGTGGTACATCCATACAATAGAATATTATTCAATACCAAAAAGAAATGAGCTATCAAGCCATGAAGAGACATAGAGGAACCTTAAATAATGAACCTTTTTTCACTATTACTAAGGGAAAGAAGCCAATCTGAAAAGCCTATGTAGTATATGATTCCAACTATACACCATTCTGGAAAACGCAAAACTATGGAGACGTAAAAAGATCAGCAGTTGCCAGGGGTTAGGGAAGAAGGGGATGAATAAGCAGAGCACAGATTTTTGAGGGTAGTGAAACTACTCTGTATGATGCCATCACAGTAGGTACATGTCATAATAAATTTATCCAAAATCATATGATGTGCAATACCAAGAGTATACCCTAATATAAACTATGGACTTGGGGTGACCATGATGTGTCAGTGTAAGTTCATCAGTTGCAAAATTATGTACCACCCTGGTGAAGGCTGTTTATAATAGGGGAGGCTATCCATGTGTAGGAGCAGGGAGTATATAGGAAATCTCTGTATCTTCTGTTCATTATTGCTGTGAACCAAAAACTGTGCTAAAACACAAAGTCTATTTTTTTAAAACTACATAAAAGTAAATACACAAGCACATGTGCATAAACAGACACGCACACAAATGGGTACAGGTAAAACAGGAAATTTGAACAAAACTGGTGGATCGTACCTGTCTCAATATCTTGAGTTTGATGTTGCACTATTGTTTTACAAAATGTTATTATTAGAGGGAAATTGAGTAAAGTGTACCTGGGATCTCTCCGGACTATTCCCTACAACTGCATGTGAATCTGATTATCTCAAAATAAAAAGTTTTTTTTTTAAGTTACTACTAAATTTCCAAGGGAATGGGATTCCTACCAAAGAATTGTATATTGTGAAATTAAATAATTCTAACTTAAAACAATTCAAACTTATAGCTGGGGGAACTTTAAATTATTTGGAGCCATAAGAAGAGTGTGGCTATGCAGCCTGAGCCATGCAGCAGGCAGCTGTAACTTCTGCCTTTTTTTCCTATAAATAGTTAAAACCAAATTGCCCTAGAGATAAGACCCACTCACATCACTATCCCTTTTCAAGGAGCAATAAAGTAATCTTCCTTGGAATGTAGCAATCTGTAACAAATCAAAGTGCTGTAACTATGCATGGTCCCATATGGAAAATACAATCCTGCTAAAATTTCTCTGTCTCTGCCTATATCAGTGATACCTTACGTCCTCCACTTTGGAGTGCTGACCCCATTCATTTGGAGTTGGTGTCTTCCATGTGACTACCTTTAAGCTTTGTGCTCAAATAAACTATCCTTAAATATATTTTCTGAATCTCATTATTTAAGGTTAACCATGTGCTAACCTAAATAATTCACAGGATTTGTTTTTTATCCTCATTTTTTCGTAACCCATCCGCCTGGTTCAAGGCACATAGATTAAGAAGGAAAATGGAAATGGGACTAATATCCCAGGCTTCACTGTCCCTCTTTGGGCTCTGGGGATGAGACTCCCAAAAGTCTAGACATGTTTACCCACATGCTGTGTGTGGTTTCTGATAATGAAATGATCATGGCTTTTCCTGAACCATGGCTTAACTTTGTGAATCCACAACTCTCTCTTCCCCGGGAGATCCAAAAAGATAGGGTAGGATGTGAAGACTTCAATCTGTTCAAATGGACATGAGAACCCCTGGCTCTCCTTAAAATAAGTAGCATGGATTTTATCTCTCTCCCTTACTTCCTCATAAGCATTCTGAATGAGAAAAGTTCAAACCATTATTTGTTCAATTACTTAATCTACTTTGGGACACAAGCTTCATAAATTAAAATATTCTTCTATCTGTTCCCCTTGATCAGCGAACATAAAGTTATCTTTTGACTCATATTTAAAATGTTCAGTACTACAACACTGAACAATAGTATGGAGGGAAAAAAATGCCAACTTAAGTTTGGACTTGCTTCACCATTCCTATCCCAACCCCCGTGATTAGAAAATCAAAAAGAACACTTGGAGAAATAACCTCAGTGAGGTCAAAATCCAGAGGAGTCTCCAGGATGTCTTGTTCCTAAGACAAATAGACAGAAGGAAGCGCACATATAGGATTGCAGCCCTTCTTCACTTCATTTGTTCTTTATTTGTGTGCATGTGTGTTGGCAGCGCAATTGAGAATGCTTTCATTTTGGGTGGTATACTAGAAGGCATTAAAAAACAAAATGAGAAGTAGGAATTGAACAATGTGAATGCATGGACACAGGGAGGGGAACCTCACACACTGGGGCCTGTTGGTATGTGGGGGGCTTGGGGAGGGATAGCATTAGGAGAAATACCTAATGTAGGTGACAGGTTGATGGGTACAGCAAACCGCCATGGCACGTGTATACCTATGTAATAAAACTGCACATTCTGCACATGTACCCCAGAACTTAAAGTATAATAAAAAAAATTAATTAATTTATAAAAACAAAATAAGTCCAGGTTCAATGGCTCCTGACTGTAATCCCAGCACTTTGGGAGACTGAGGTGGGCGAATCACCTGAGGTCAGGAGTTCAAGACCACCCTGGTCAACAGGATGAAACCCCGTCTTTACTAAAAATACAAAAATTAGCCGGGTGTGATGGCATGCACCTGTAATCCCAGCTACTTGAGAGACGAGGCAGGAGAATCACTTGAACCTAGGGGGTGGAGATTGCAGTGAGCCGAGATCACACCATTGCACTCCAGCCTGGGCAACAAGAGTGAAACTCTATCTCAAAAAAATAAATAAATAAATAATAATAATAATAAATAACCAAAATGATATTGAAGTCATTAATAATTACAACATAATAGCTACTATAATGTAACAATGTGTTAAGTGTCTTCAAAAGGACCCACTGTTTTCTCACTATTCATTTGATCTCCATTTGGCACTGTTTTGTTGTTTGAATAAAGCTTTATGCCACCAGGTTTTCCTACATATTTATAAAACAAAGTTCTCAGCTATATCAATAACCATGACTGTTATTTTACGTTGCTTCATTCCTTCATGTATAGTACTATCAAGTTTGACCCTACCCTCACTATGACTAGTTTGGCCCAACCATCTATTACAACAGAGAGCCTCAGGTGAAGTAAAATAAATGTTATAAATTCTTCCAAATTTATGGCACACTTTGAACAGTTTGAGATATACTAATTGAGAATTGCTAACTTTAACATTTTAAGTATCAATTAAGTGTTCAATTATTTTTTATCAGCTTGGATTGCCTTTGGTTCTAGTTACGAATCATTTTCTTTCTTCTTTCTTTCTTTCTTTCTCTTTCTTTCTTCCTTTCTCTCTCTCTCTCACTCTCTCTTTTTCTCTCTCTCTCTCACTCTTTCTCTCTCTTTCTCTCTCCCTCTCTCTCTCTCTCTCTTTTTCTTTCTTACTGACAAGGTCTTGCTTTGTTGCCCAGGCTGGAGTGTAGTGGCATGATCAACACTCACTACAGCCTCAACCTCCCCAGCTCAAGCAATCTTCCTGCCTCGGCCTCCTGAGTAGCGAGGACTACAGGAATGTGCCACCATGCCTGGCTTTTTAATAAATGTTTTGTAGAGACAGGGTCACACTATGTTGCCCACGCTTATATCGAACTCCTGAGCTCAAGCAATCCTCCTGCCTCAGCCCCCCAACACACTGGGATTACAGGCATGAACCACTGTGAATGGCCTACTTTAATGAATCTTACTGATAAAAGTCCGCTATACATTAATACTTACAAGGCATAGAAATACATACAACAGGACTACATACACATATACATATGTATATATATGACAACTTCCCTGAACTCAAGAAGCTTGTGTTGTCTTTTAAGAAAATGAAATGTATAGGAAAAACTGTAATTCATCTTTGATTTATATAAAAATATATCATAAGGTAATAAAGAAGAGAAAGCCCACCCAACTGAGAAGGCATGGAAGAGAAAATAACAAAGTCCCAAGAATGTGAAATTTGGGAAGGTGATAGATAGTTCTTTGACAAGTGGAAAATGTCCCTCTGAATTCTGTAACAGTGTAATCTCTGGAAGTAGTAATTTAACTGGATAGTTGACCTGCGTCTTTGGAACCTAATATTCCTTATTTTTTGCCTCTAGATACCGACTCATTGGTTCCTCGTCTGCCACATGCATCATCTCAGGCAATACTGCCATTTGGGATAATGAAACACCTATTTGTGAGAGTGAGTTGAAATATCCCTTCCTATTTCTTTTACGGATACATTCTAATTTTTCTCTGGAATAATAAAAATCTTAACCGAATTCCTTCTGTGCAATCTGTCCTTCACATGGCTGAAGACAGCGGTAATGTTCTCGAATATTCCTACAGGGTTCCTGGCAACTCTTTGCTTAAAGTTCTGCCTTATCCTGGGATGTGTCTTTTCTAATTCTGGGGGCTTAAATACATAAAATCCTTCAAACTTGATTTTACTTCAATAAATTTGAAATTATGGTGGTTCTACCACCTCCAGTATAATAATCATCCTGCTTGGCAAATCAGTAAAGATTTTTAACATTTATGCTGTTCAAGGTTAGTGAAGCTGTGGAAGAACCTGGACTCTCACGCACCACGAGGTCAACACATCCTCTCGAAAGGCACCATGCACTATTAACCTCAGAAGTGGGCATATATTTTAACCTACTTCTTAGAATTTATACTTATGAAATAATCACACACTTTTTAAAGCAGTTTGGTATAAACTTTTCATTGCAGCATCATTTATATTAGTTAAAATGTTAGAGCAACCTAGTTTAAAAATATTTGAAACTATGGTTTGGAAATAATCTACTAGGAGGAAAAAGATGTGTTCAAATGACCACTATAAAGAATTCCCGAAGAAACATAAAATAGCTATGCAGAATGGAAAAGTAATGGAAAAATGAAATAATCACACACTTTTTAAAGCAGTTTGGTATAAACTTTTCATTGCAGCATCATTTATATTAGTTAAAATGTTAGAGCAACCTAGTTAAAAATATTTGAAACTATGGTTTGGAAATAATCTACTAGGAGGAAAAAGATGTGTTCAAATGACCACTATAAAGAATTCCTGAAGAAACATAAAATAGCTACGCAGAATGGAAAAAAGTATATCCATACACTGGCATGGTATTCAGCCATAAAAAAAATTATAGCATAAAGAAGCACTTAATGACTAGAAAGAGATGTGTTTTATGTGGGAAAAGAATCAGATGAACAGCATGTATGGCAAGATCTCATTTTATTAAAAAGTAATACACCTGTGTAGCGAGGGCCAGGCTGAGGCTCAGTGAAATATAGTGTATAACATCTTTGTGTTACTGTTCTCTTTAGATAACTTGAAGACTTTACTTTTCTTCTTGTTATTTAAAAATGTTGTTCCTTTTACTAGAAAGTTTATGAGCTTCAGAATCTAAATTTACAAATGACATTGGTCACACATTTGTCTCTGTTTATCCACTTTAAGAAACAGTTTTGCTGTTCTGTAAAACAAATTGGGAAACCTTCCATGTTATTTGAAATCTATAATAAGATAACATGGAATTGGAATAGAAATTTTCTTGGAAATATGAAAAAATAGTAAAATAGAGAAAACAAAAAATATAATAATACACCTATACCTGTATCTATGTTTTTATCTCTGTTTCTAGTTCTGTAAACTCTCTATATCTAAATCCTGGTAAATGACTTCAAGTCTTCTTGGAGAAGTCTAGGGGAAGATTTACAATACATGCTTTTGATTGTGTAGCAGGTGCTTCCTCAAAAGAATCCAGTCTCCCATCCATTCGTGCTGCTCTGGGTCTATAAACTGTTCAAGTTTAGGAATTGTTGATGAACAATGAACTTCTTTTACAATAATTCAAGTCAGACTTCTATTCACTTGACCTAAATCTCTTCTGCTTATACAAATCATATAACACTTTAGTCGGCTATCCATCTACTTCGGTTTTAGAGACTCCATGATCAATTAGCCCAGTAACAATATTCTCTTCAGTCAAATCATTCTGATTACTGTTTCAGCTCTAATATCCATTACAAGAACCCCCATTGTCTCTGGCAATTAAGTGCTGCTACTTGGACTCTGCCACCCTGAGGTCCTTTGGTCCCCGAGTGAATTCAGAGAACCCAGTTCAATGGCAACAGTTCCCATTGTCGTTCCTGCCCTGCAGAGAATGAGCCGTCGCAGAGGATGCTGAAACTCCCCATGTGAATGTACTCCTCAAGCCTCTGGTAAAAGGTCTATCTTCTGAACCCTCCACTCCTGCACTGTGCCTCACCAGCTCTATCCAAAGATGACCTTCAGAGTGGAATGGCTGTTGCTTAACTTCTGCCTCTCAAATATCGGCTAATTTCTCATGCCATAACCCTAGTCCAGAACCATACAGAGAAACTAAGTCTAGAAAACTTAATTCCAAATTGGCCTGGTTGACGCTATACAAAAGCCCCAGATAATTATAATTTTATTTAACTCTTTATCTTCTTTTCTTTCCTTCCCTCCTTCCCTTCTGCCAGCCTGCCTTCCTTCTTTGCTTCTTTTCTTTCTCCCTCCCTCCCTCCTTCCCTCCCTCCCTCCTTCTCTCCCTTCCTCCCTCCCTTCCTCCCTCCTTTCCTTCCCTCCTTCCCTGCTTTCCTTCTTCCTTATTTTCTTTCTTCTTTACCACATGGCTAGGACCACCAATATAACATTGAACATTGGTAGCAATAGGTGTCATCCTTGTCTTGTTCCACATCTCAAAGGGAAAGATTAAAACATTTCACCATTAATCTGGTGTTTACTGTAGGCTTTTTGTAGATAATCATTTTTGAATTAAGGACATTCTCACATATTCTTCATTATTAAAAGTTTTTTGTCTTTGAATCATGTTGAAGTTTATCAAACACTTCAGTTACATGTATCGATGTAATTATATCTGTTTCTCTGTTTTCTGTTAATGTAACAAACTGTTTTGAGTACATTTTTGAAAGGCAAATAATTTTGAATTTCAGTTTTACATTCTTAAAATAAACCAACTTGGTCATAATATTTAATCATTTTTATATATGACAAATATGCTTTAATAGCACATTTTAGATGTTTCTATTAAAGTATAATTCATGTATCATAAAAGTTACCTTTTTAAATTACACAGTTCAGTGGTATTTAGTATATTCACAAAGTTGTATGTTATGGTCTGAATGTTCGAGTCTACCCCAGATCCATATGTCGAAATCCATACCCCTAAGGTGATGACATTAAGGAGTGAGGCCTTTGGAAGGTGATAAGATCATGAGAGCAGAGCTGTCACGAATGGGATTAGTGTCCTAATAAGAGAGGCCCAGAAGAGCTCCTTTGCCCCTCCTGCCATGGGAGGAAATGCTGAATCTGCCAGAGAGGTTGGTCCTGAACTCCTCAGCCTCCACAACTAAAAGAAATAAATTTCTGTTGTGTACGAGCTAATCAGTTTATACTATTTCGTTATAGCTGCCCAAATAGACTAAGACATTGGGCAACCAGCACCGCCAATTAATTCCAGAACACTTTCTTCATTCCATTCCTATTTTAGAGATTAGACTGTAACTTTTTTTCTTGTAATGTCCTTTTAAGATTTTGACATCAAACTTATGACAGTCTCATAAAGCCAGCTGGTAGTGTTTCATGTATTTGTTTCCTTGAAAGAGTTTATATAAAATTGGTATTATCTCTTCTTTAAATGTTTAAAAGAATTCACCAGAAAAGCCCTGGAGTTTACTTTGTTGGGAGGTCTTTTTTTCCAACAATTTTCCTGTACCATGTAGACTTTTTGCTGAAGTATAACATATACGCAGTAAAGTGCACACATCTTAATTATGCAGTTCAATGGTTATTTACGAATTAAATGCATCCATGTAAATGACACTCAGATTAAGATATAGAACACTATCAGCACCCCAGAAGCCTTCCCGATGCCCTTTCCCAGTTATCTTCCCAAAGTAACCATTATTCTGATTTATTACATTAATAATTAGTTTTGCCACTTCCTAAATTTTATAAAGGAATCAAAAAATAGGTACTCTTTTGTGTCCGGCTTCTGCTCAGTGTTATATTTGGAAGTCACTTTTGTTGCTGCATGAAGGATTGTCGGATTTTTTTTATTTTTATGTTGTATTTCATTGATGATCTTGAGTACCTTTTCATATGTTTGTGAAGTGCCTATTCCAAACTTCTGGCTGTTATTGACTAGTTTGTCTATCATTTTATTGTTTTGTAGAAGTTATTTAAATATTCTCATGTTTTCTAATAAATGGAACACAAATGTTGTCTTTCAGACTATGGCTTTTCTTTTTCTTTTTCCATTCTTAATGATGTCTTTTGTTGTAGGAAGTTCTACATTTTAATAATATTCAATTTATGGGTCTTTTTTCCAAGTTACTGCTTTTTCTATTCTACTTAGGCAATTGGGCCAGGTGAGGTGGCTTACGTCTATAATCCCAGCACTTTGGGAGGCCAAGGGAGGAGGACTGCTTGAAGCCAGGAGTTCAAGACCAGCCTGGGTAACAAAGCAAGACCCTGTCTCTACAAAAAATAAAATAAAATTAGCTGGGCTCAGTGGCACATGCCTATAGTCCCAGCAACTTGGGAGCCTGAGGTGGGAGGATCCCTTGAGTACAGGGGTTCAAGGCTTCAGTGAGTTACGGTGGTGCCACTGCACTCCAGCCTAGGTGACAGAGTGAGACCCTGTTTCTTATGGATAGGTAATTGATCTAATATCATTTATTAAATGTGGCACCATGGCCATAAGTCAGGTGACCTTATATGTGGCTCTCATTCCAAGGAGGTTCTGTTTCATTGGTTTATTTACCATACATTGTGTTTTTGTTTTGGTTTGGTTTTTGCCATACTATAATGGCAAAAAACCAAAACAAAACAAAACAAAACTGCAGCATTACATTAAGATTTTAATTACTATCACATTACATTAAGATTTGATATCTGGTGGCATATATCTTCTAACTATGTGCATCTTCAAGATTTACTTGGTGATTCTTGGCACTTCGTATTACCATATGAAATTTAGAATCAGCTTACCAATTTCCACATAAAGAATCCTACTTCAATTTGTATTGAGTTTCTGTTGACTCAGTACATCAATTTGTGGACATTAACAAATTTACAGTTTTGAAGTTTAAATTTATGAACATGATATATCCTCCCATTTTTGAAGTCTTCTCTAATTTCTTGTAATA